CGTGCAGTGTGCAGAGTGCCATCCAGTGCTTCACACGTAGCCTAGTGAAGTCGTGGATTGTGTGTGTGTGTGTGTGTGTGGATGTTAGGCAGGTTGAATGATGTGTGTTATTTGATTGCAGATAATTGCAGGTGTGGCAGTGCTGATTGCCGGACAGCTCGTTGTAACATTCTGCACCGCCACCTACGCAGTGCCGATATTTGGACTCAATGTCTTCCCCTCGTGGGCTGAAGGTGCCATTAAAAACGCCACCGTGAATGCTACCACCCCTTAGTACCTTGGGGTTTAGGCGTTCTACCGTGGTCTGCTGTTCCGCGTTTCCTCGACTGCAACTACTTGCCCCCATATAATGGAGTTCCTTGTGTAGAGACCCTCGTTTATACCAGTCGCCGCATCTATCACTCGAAGTTCTCTGTGTTGAAATTTTTTTGCGTCTCCATTGGACAAAAATATATTACTACCATCTACCGGCGTTCATGGTTTTTTGTGTGATGCATTAGGTAGGTAAAATCCCTATTTTGTTCGGTTAGTTAACAATAAAATTAACATTCAGCCTGACGGTAATTTGCGTTTAAATGAGAGGAATTAGAGAAGCCCCGTGGGTGTGCAAGGCTTCTTAGTGTCCTCCAATGACACTGTCCTAGAAACTATGTTCTCAACGAGAATCCAATGCGGTATGCCTTGTGAAGGAAAGGGCGACGGCAGATAAATACACCTAAGAACCACCCTGCCTGTTTGCATTACCCTAGACTGCGATTTCGCACTTATGCGCATCGAGGGGCCGATTGTGAATTTCAGCCTAATTTGGGGCCACATAAAATGTTACACGGTTTCATGCAAGGGAGTGTTCATTAGGCTGCAATGTTTACTCTATCGCCTCTTATCCCTCTTACCACAACTCTTTGGGTGCCCTCTCTGTCGATATGTTATGTTGCCTCTGTCAATAAGGTAGTCCTGGTTGCGGTGGTGATCGTAGTAGTAGCAGTAGCAGTAGGAGTGGAAGGAGGAAGAGGAGTAAGGAAATCAGCCGAACTAGCAGGATGCTGGAGAATATGGCGCTTTGAAATTGCACCCATAGCTAGCCCACGTGAAACAGGCTCCTTAGACCATAATCCAGACAGTCAAGAGCACTCGTGCTGGATACGCCAGTTGAGGCCTTGCTGTAGATTCTGCCCCCTCACTTCCTTGCCTCCACCTTCTCGTCGTCATCGTGTTGGATTACTGTGAAATTCTACTACCCACGCGCATCGAACAACGACTAAGTTTGTTCCTGGTTAGCATCCCTCTTCAAACCTGTGCGGTTTCATTAGAAATTGGATTTGTTGGATGTTTATTATCTCTCCCTCCAACTCATTTGAATGCCCAATCTATGGATACGTCGCTATATCTATGCAAATAAGCTTCTATAGTCATGGTCGGACGACTCCAGAATAAGGCTTGCCTTATTCCTTGAAACCAGATGGAACCAGAGCGGCCCAGCCGTCGACACCAGGCTTTCTCGTGACCCAAAGGACCACGATGACTGCGAG